CAACCGGCAAAGAAACATTTACAAAAAACCTGAATTTACGAAATGGCCAAATACCAAGCTTTGTTGAACCTAAAACAAACAATGGATTTATGATTGGTGATAGTCGTGTCAATTTTGGCAATGGCAAGTACCATATATACTCTCACGTCCACAGTGATAGTGGACACGAAGGTGATGCTTTATTTACTGTCGACGATGATGATGGCCTTGTCACACAAATATGGGAATGGGGATGCAGTCACATGATGTCAGGGCTTCAAGGGTGGAACAATTTAACAAAGATTATGATTCACATTTGTGACTCTGATGCTTCTCCTGGGATGGGTATCTTTGCTGAAAAGACTTCTCAAAATACGTTGTATGTCCATGCCTCAAATCAACATGGTTTAACAGCTGGGGAACTTGGGGGTATAGTAGAAAATGACCAAGGATGGTTATTGGTCTTCAATTCAATAACTCCTGAATCTACAAATACCGCGAATCCAGCAGCTGCTATTCAGGAAATAGGTGTCATAGATATCGGATTAAACAAGAAAAGGAAAAGTGTCACCTTTTTAAAGAGTAGTGGGAAAAAGAGATCAAGCGGGTGCATTGCAAAATACAATGAAAAATTCTTGTTGGGGTATAAGGAAGGCAGCGACTTCTATTTGGGAACTATTGATGCTAAAGTAACAGTTAAAGATCAATTTGAAAAGGTCACTGGTGCAACAATATGGGGTGATAGAGATGATTCATTCAGACTTATGAGAAATGGAAATATATTTTGGGTAGGAGCACCAAATAATAAAGGAAATACACTCATTATCAGCGAGTTTGCAATTAAAGAAATATCTGAAGATAGTATAAATGACGGAGGAGATGAAAGTGAAAATAACAACGGAAATAAAGATGGAAGTGTGTTGTATGAAATAACATTAATCGTAGGATTAATCTTATTGATGTTATAATTCATTTTTGATAGTTTTGTTTGTATTATATTAAATATGATTAACGGTTACTATTTTATTAATAAATAGTGATGGTTAATTAAAAAAGCCGCTACTCTTTTCAATAAATAAGCAAATTAAATGTTAATGTATCAATATGTGTAATTGAGTGTTTAGAAATCAAACAAATAATACAACACTATGACTAAGTTGCAAATATATTTTTTTTATAAACAAAATCAATACATAAGATTAGACTCAATTTAATTATTGGGTATACAAAAGAATTGGATAGATATATAAAATGTGTTTAAAACTAACAATACTGTTTATTAATTTGATTAAGTGTTTAATAAATATTAATATACAGAATAATCTCATTTTTGTTTCAATACTTTCAATGTTTTCTATTATAATAATTATTTTAATTTCATCAACAAAAAATATCGAATTTTTTTGATTACTATTACATATATTGTAATAATTAAAGAAGTTCAACTTATTGTTTCCATAAGGTTGTTAAATTGAATAACAAAGCAACAAAGTGTGAAAACAAAAATTAAGAATAAACTTGGAGTTTTAATAAACTTATATTTTTATTCTTTATTATGGGATTTATCAGAAAATGCAACAAACATATTTTTATATCAAAACAAAAAGGTGTTGATAAATAATTTTGAAATAATTTAAATACATTAACAAATATAACCGTAACACATCAAATCCACTTTAAAGCATTTTAAATAATAAACAACATCAATAAAAATTATAAATTAATCCAAGATCAATAATAAATTAACACACCTAATTGAAAAAAACATTCAATTATTGGATTTAATGTTTATATCACTAAACAACTTTTTATAAATTTTAATAATGTATTCATATATTTCTTCAAAGAAATAACATAAAAAACGTAATAATCAAAACACTTATATTTTATTATATATTGCTTCAATAGATTTAACAACTTCCATTGCAGTCATTCTCTCTTCAGGTTTCTGTACCCACATATCATTAATAATATCATAAGCTTCTTCGTTCATGTTACTTTGTAATTCTCTTCGTCGGCCCGAAGCAATATAATCAGCAACATTCCAAGGGAATGGGAACAATTTGAGTGGGTATGCCTCTCCCCAAATTAGAGTTTCAAAGAACGTTACAGCCAACGAGTAAATATCAGCTGCCTTCTTATAGTGTTGTTTATTCAAGATTTCAGGTGCCATATATTTTGGTGTCCCAACGCCTCTTGTGAATGTCATATTAGTCATCAGTAAATTAATGTTTCTACTACTTCCAAAGTCAGTCAACTTCCCATTAGTAATTATATCTTTTTCGAGCGACAATATTAATATATTGTCTGGTTTGATGTCTCTATGTAAAATGCCATTCTCATGTAAATACAAAATTCCTCTTGTGGCGTCTAAGACGACTTTCATCTTCATTTTGAGTGTTAATTCCTTGTCACTACCTTTTGGTATGTTGTTAAACAAATCCTGTAAAGACCCGTATTGTGCAAATTCGGTGACCATACAAATGTGGTTTGGAATGACACAAGCGCCATAGAAGTGGATGATATACTCACTTCTAAACTTGTCTAACATCATTACTTTCCTTATCGAAATC